CGGTCAAGCCGTTCTGGAGATACAAAGGGTCAAAAAGTGACGTTTTTCGTGAAAATGAAGTACGTCGTCGTCTTCTTCTTCTTCTTCTTCTCTGTCCGCGTCCGCTGACGTCATCAGGATTATATATATATATATAAATCTCTTCTCACCTTTCACTCACACCTCCCTCAACTTCTACCCCACCCCTTTCCTCTCACATACCGCCCCACCCCCCACCCCACCCCCACCCCCTACCCCCACCCCACCCCCACCCCTACCCCCACTCCCACCCCTCTTTTGCCCTAACTCACCCTCTTTCGCCTCTTTTACCCTCTTTCGTCCTCTCTCACCCTCTGTTGTCCTCTTTCACCCTCTTTCACCCCTCTTTCGTCCTCTTTCACCCTCTTTCGTCCTCTTTCACCTCTCTTTCGTCCTCTTTCACCATCTTTCACCTCTTTCACCTCTTTCGTCCTCTTTCGTCCTTTCTCACCCTCTTTCGTCCTCTTTCACACCGTCTTTCGCCTCTTTCACCCTCTTTCGTCCTCTCCTCACCCTTTTTTATTCTCTCTCACCCTCTTTCACCCTGTTTCGTCTTCTTTTCACCCTCTTTCATTCCCTCTCACCCTCTTTCGTCCTCTTTCACCCTCTTTCGTTCTTTCCTCACCCTCTTTCGTCCTCTTTTACTCTCTTTTGTTCTATCTCACCTCTTTCATTCTTTCTCAACCTTTTTTCACCCTCTTTCGTCCTCTTTTCACCTTCTTTCACTCTCTCTTTCGTCCTCTCTCACCCTCTTTCATTCTTTTCATCCTCTTTTCGCCCTCTCTCATCTTCTTTTGACCTCTTTCACACTCTTTCGTCCTCTCTCACCCTCTTTTGTTCTCTTTCACCCTCTTTCGTTCTCTCTCACCCTCTTTCGACCTCTTTCGTCCTCTTTCACCCTCTTTCTTCTCTCTCACCCTCTTTCGACCTCTTTCGTCCTCTTTCACCCTCTTTCGTCTCTCTCACCCTCTCTCACCTCTTTCACACCCTCGTACGTCCTTTCTCACCCTCTTTCGTTCTTTTTCATCCTCTTTCGCCTATCTCGTCTTCTCTTACCTTCATTCGTCCTCTCTCACCCTATCTCCAAAAAATCATAAAAATGAAAAGGTCAAGCCATGTTCAAAAGAAGGTCCGCAAAAATTTAAACCTAGTCTGTACAATGAAAAATAATTACTCGTAATTCCAGAGTTCCAATTTGTTAATGTGCGCGACGGGAGGCAGGATAAGGATGTCGGAAGCGAGAAGACGGCGAGGCACTACACTCGACACACACGTATCGTTTAATATAACTATATTTGAAACTAAAACAAAGAAAAATACAAGTACTGAAACCGCACAGAATTTACAAAAAGATAACTGATTAGAGAATCCAAAAGAAATAGCCGAGTCGGTAATTAATAATTAAATGTTCCGCAAGCAACGGTAATTAAACGTGGTAAAACAAAAAAGACAAGCGATCTTTTTTCGTACAGTAGAAACACACTCTTGACGCAACGAGCAATCGGAAAAGAGCGCCGCGATCACGAGAGAAGAGGTTTTTATAGGCCCGTGTTTCTAGAATAGTCGAGAATAATTCTCTTTATTCTATCGTTCGGCTGAGGTCGAAAGAGCGTTTTGTGTAATTATTTACTTTTAGAAAAATAATCTTTTGTTGTTAACGGGACTAAAATGTATCTTCTCTCGCGCGACCGCGGTGTTTACAATTATCGATGAGTCGACGTAAGCGCTTTTTTTTCGCAGGCGCGGGGTACGTATACCTATACCAGTGCGGCCGAGCGCTATTTTAAATAATGTTAATTTAAAATTATGCATGATGCATGTTGCATGGGGATGAAACGGCTGCATGAAATTTAACGCAATGATGTTTTAATGCTCTTAATCCTGCAGGTTTTTAAACGTTCGAATCTCGAACATTCCGGCCGCCTTGCAGGAGTATACCTGCAATAATAATAGCGTGGAAGTGGGGGCGCGAGCCTATTCACGCTCTCGCGAGTGACGGGCACGTGGAGCGCACGTGCTCTGACGGATTTCGCTCAAGAAATGCTGAATCGAACAGCTGTTTATTTTCGAGCGCCGAGGATAGACGTATATCGGTGAACGCATTGAGGAATACGCGACAATTTCGATTGTGATATTAACCGTGATTACATACTGAAACGAATAGTTAAGTGATAATAAGATTGCAGCGATGAAATGAGTGGAGTAGTGAGTGGAAGGTAGTTATGATTGAAGTGAGGTAGTTTGGAACGGTGCAATTGAAGTGTTGATGAGTTTACTAATCGCTTGTGGTTTTAGGTGACAGATCGTCAGCGTCGGGAAGAAAAACGAGTTTGCTAACGGGTCGCGTCAAGACAGTGGTGGCGGTGCGGACCTCGACGACGCGAACGTGTCCGTCGGCTCCGGAGTGCAATTTGGTGATGCGTGCTAGAGGCCACCTCGTTGGCGCGGTCATTTCGTGACGTATTAAACAGAGTCGACCGACCCGAGCTTCCCGGTTTATCTTGAACCATTTGGGCCAATGAGCCAGCGTGTGTAGATATTCGCGAGACCATCGGGACCAGAAATGATCTTTCATCTGTTGTAGAAGCTGCCACCGGGAGAGGCGCAACGACGATTCCTCGGTCAGCGACGGTTCGGGGACGGTGGAGAGCGCGGAGCCGATGAGGAAATGGCCGGGTGTCAGCGCACTGAAGTCCTCCGGGTCGTCGGTCAGCGGTTGCAGCGGCCGAGAGTTGAGGCAAGCCTCGACCTGGGAGAGGAGAGTGGCCATCTCCTCGTAGGTGAGTGTGGCTTCTCCTATCACTCTGCGAAGATGGTGCTTCATTGACTTGACTGCCGCTTCCCAGATACCACCGAAGTTGGGCGCAGCCGGCGGGTTGAACCGCCACTGGATTTGCTCCTGGGCAGCGAAGAAGGCGACGCGACGTCCTTCAGGGTTTGTAGCGGAGAATAAGTCTCGGAGTTGAGTGTCGGCGCCTATGAAGGTGGTCCCACAGTCGCTGTATAGTGTGTGACATACACCTCGCCGAGCGATGAATCGACGCAAGGATGCCAGGAAAGCGTCGGCCGAGTATCCGAGGCGACATCAAGATGGACGGCCCTGGAACCTAAACAGATGAAGACGACAATGAAGGCTTTAGAAGATTTTTGCCCGCGGCCTTTGGAACTTCGCAGCCAGACGGGTCCGGCGTAGTCGACGCCAGTATGGAGGAACGGTCTTCCTGGTGTCACTCGGGGTGCAGGCAAGTCACCTATGAGAGGCTGTGCTGTAGCCGACCGCTATCGCAGGCATCTAACGCAGCGGTGAATGTGGTTTTTGACGAGGGATCGTCCACGAGGAATCCAGAATTCTTGACGGATAGAACACAGGGTCAGCTGGGTGCCCCCATGCAACGATCGTCGGTGATGTTCATAGATGACGAGGTGAGTAATTCGCGACGAACTCGGTAGGATGATTGGATGGGTAGCCTCAAAAGACATTTGAGAATGTCGTAGACGCCCTCCGACGCGAATAACGCCCGAATTGTCCACAAATGGGCTGAGCTTATTGAGTGGGCTTCGGTTGGGCAGTGATGTCAGGCCTCGCAACGATTTTAACTCATCCTTGAAATTTGCAGCTTGGACGACCCGTATCCAGTGGATCAGCGCGTCATGAAGTTCTTCAGCGTCTACCCCGCCGTCGCGGTTGAGAAGGATGGGCTGCCGTCGGCGTTTTCGTAGCCACCGGAGACACCAGGCGGTGATGCGAAGGAGTCGCTGCAGGAAGAGTATCGGAGTAGCAGCTCCGGTTCGTCTCCTCGCTTGTCCAAGACGGCAGCATGCGAACGGGCTTGACGCTCGGGTAGCTCGACGTTGCTGAGATCATCTCCGAAGACAGTCCAAGGGCGCTCTTCGTTTTCAGCCAAGAGGGTCCCTGCCACCAAAGCGGATGCGCCTCAAGCTCTCCAGGGAAGATGCCTCGAGAGGCGCAGTCGGCCGGGTTCTCGCGTCCAGGGACATGATGCCAAAGGGCGTCGGGGAGCGTCGTCTGAATTTCGCTGACCCGGTTGGCAACAAATGTGACCCAGGAAGAAGGATGTCCACGGATCCAGCCGAGAACCACCGTGGAGTCTGACCAGAGGTAAAGAGGCGCCTTTTCAGCTCCGATGAGAGGCAGCGTTTGCTGAACGAGGCGGACCAGAAGAGTTGCGGCTGATAATTCGAGCCGAGGTAAGGAGATTTGTTTCAGCGGAGCAACTTTCGTCTTGGCAGCAATCAGCGTAACTCCATACTCCCCGTTCTTCTCGGTTTTTAGGTACACCACAGCGGCGTAGGCACGGACTGAGGCGTCAGCGAATCCGTGGACTTTCAGGCGGCAGTCAGTCGATCCTCCGCCCAGCCATCGAGGAACGTGCAGTCTCTCCAGTTGGGGGAGCTCCGCTTGGAAGCGTAACCAGGCCTTCTCATGGTCGTCCGGAAGAGGAGTGTCCCAGTCGATGCCGAGCAACCAAGTAGACTGGATTAGAGTCTTGGCGAGAACAGTCGTAGGAGACAGCCAACCGAGCGGATCAAACAGCTTCGCTGTCAACGATAAGACTGACCGTTTGTGATCGTGGACAGCGTTGGTTGGCTGGTGGCGAAGGAGAAGAGGTCGTCGCAAGGTTGCTACCGTAATCCCAGGGTGGCATGACTTTCCCCAGGCAACCACCATCTTGCCTCTTGCTGGAGGCAGTCTTCGGTAGGTAATGTCGACAGTAACTGAGGGTGATTAGCTGACCATTTTTTCAGAGGGAAACCTCCCGCCTTGCAGACCAGAACAAGCTGTCGGAGGATTTCCTTGGCTTCCTGGAGGGTAGAAGCTCCAGACAGGATGTCGTCCATGTAGACGTCGGAGCGGAGGACCGCGGCTCCCTCAGGATGACGATCGCCTTCGTCCACGGCGAGCTGGTGCAGCGTGCGGATGGCCAAATATGGGGCGCAGGCTAAGCCGTAAGTTACAGTAGTCAGCCAATATTCTTTGATCTCGGTCTCTGAGTCTTTCCTCCATAATATTCTTTGCAGGCTCTGATCATTGGCATGCACCAGGATTTGCCGGTACATTTTTCAATGTCGGTAGCAAAGACGTACCGGTGCTTTCTCCACCGTAGTAGGATGTCAGCTAGGGCGGGAAGCAGGTTGGGTCCCGTCATCAGAAATCGGTTGAGGCAGTCGCCGTTGGCCAAGGAGCTCGAACCGTTGAAGACCACTCTCAACTTAGTAGAGGCACTGTTTTCGCGCAGGACCCCGTGGTGAGGAAGGTAGCAGGTTCGCTGCAGAGATCCAGTAGTCGACAGGGGAGCCGGCTTCATATGGTTGAGGTCCAAGTATTGCTCCATGAAATCCACGTACATGCTGCGGAAGGTACTTTCTCGTTCTAGTTTTTTGCTGACGTGTTGCAGGGCCCGACTGGCGGCGCGTCGAGTGGCTGAGAGGTCAGGCAGAGGTTCGATCGTCGGCAGTTTCACCACATATCGACCATTGGCTGTACGAGTGTAATGTCGCAGGAAGTGATCCTCGCACTCCTGGTCAGCCTTGGAAAAGAGTTGTGAAGGCCGTTGAAGCTCCTCCTGCTCCCAGAAGCGACGCACCAGGATAGAAACGTCGTCTTCAATTCGACATTGGTAAGTGTGAACGTGATGTCCGGTAGTCGTCTCACCAACAACGCCTGACAGTATCCAGCCGAGCGTAGTTTGTTGAGCTATTGGTTCATGTCGATTTCCCTTTTTTAGGCCCTGACAGAGGATTGAACCGTAAACGTCCGCGCCAAGGAGGATGTCAACCGGATCAGCTGAGCGGTAATCAGGGTCCGCGAGTTCCAGACCCTGAAGATGAGACCAGTTTTGCCCGCCGCCGTTGTAGCCGCCGGCGTAGATGGTCAGCTTCGGCAGCACCAGAGCGTTGACGGTGATAGAAGGGCAGCCACGAAGAGACTGGAGGGTGAGTACCACTTTACCCTTTGAGACGCCTGTTTTTTTTCCCGCCGACTCCATAAACTGAAACTGAAGCGGAGCTCCGTGCTAGCCTCAAGCGTTGGGTGAGCCTTTCCGATACAATGGAGGATTCCGAGCCTTGGTCGACGAGAGCGCGAACTGACTGCCAGGACCCATAGCGATCGCATACGCGAACGCGCGCCGTGGCCAAAAGTACCGCTACAGGCGTCGGAACCGGTCCCTTGCTGACGTGCGACGTTTTGACGGTCTCCGATGAGCGGTAGGCATCATGGAGTGAGGTATAATGCCGGTCATTGCACGCAGAGCAGTTCTTCTTGGAGGCGCACTCCTTGATCTTGTGTCGGCCGAGACAGTTTCCGCACAAGTCGTTGCCTTTGACGTGCTGCTTGCGCTCTGAGGCCGTCATTTTCTTATAGGTGTTGCACAGCATCACGAAGTGGTCACCCTGGCAGGCTGAACAGCGTCCTCTGGTGTTTCCCTTGAGCTCCTTTAAGTCCTGCTTACGAGCATGGTGGGTACGAGTCGACCTCGACTGACTCCCGCTGGCTTTGTTGGGCGAGACGTCGATCTTCGTCGAGGGTAACGACTCCAGAGTGTGAAGACGTCGCTCAAGGAAACGCTCTAGCAGAGCGTATTGCGGAGGCTCGTTCGTTTCACTGATGGAGGTCTCCCACTCGCGGCGAGAGCGACTATCGAAAGGTCAACGGCGAGGTGCACAAAGAGATCTTCAGTACTCCCTACTGGCCGGTCGATGCTCGTCAGCGAACTGACCGTAGTCTTGATGCCGTGGAATATCTTCCTAAGCTCAGCAGCGGATTCTCCCTTCATCTTTGGCAGGCTTAAAAAATTTGTTAAATAAGAGCGGGTTAGTAAGCTCTTATTTTCGTAGTAGTCGCTTAGAGTTTGCCAGGCTCGTTCATAATTGGCTTCGGTAGAACTGAGGTTTCTGATGAGAAGATCTGCTTTGCCCTTGACACAGCTCTTCAAGTAGTGCATTTTTTCTACAGGCTTCGTCGTCTTATCCTGGCCGATGAGGGAGACGAAAAGGTCTCGGAAGGCCGGCCAATCCTCGTATCTTCCCGTAAAGGTCGGCAGCTGGATTCGAGGTAGCGTGGTGCGAGGCGCCGATGTTGATGTCTCTGAAGTAGCAGAAGCAGCGGCGCGTTCCTTTTTCTGGAGAGTACGCCGCATCTCCAACATCAGGCCCTTGTTCACTAGGTAAGACTCTTCGCCGAGTGAAGGTATGTCCTGTTTAGCATAGACGTCATGTTTTATTTCGTTTACACGCTCAGCCAAGATATCATTCATCGCATCGAACTTCTCCCACAGTTTGTCGAGATTCAGAAGCCGGGCTTCCACCGCGCCGAGTGTGATGTTGGCCTCGCCGAGCTTCCGAAGGTTATTGTATGCGCGCGATATCTTGCCATATAGCGCGGTGGCGTTGGTAATTATAGTTGCCGTGTCTGCCATCTCTGACACTGTCTTATTTTTCAGATGCACTGGTCACCTACACTGAAAAACTCTACACTTCCGTGGCACCGGATTCACAGGAGGTTCTGGAGGATCCGGCTCGAAGGACCAAAAATAATGTGCGCGACGGGAGGCAGGATAAGGATGTCGGAAGCGAGAAGACGGCGAGGCACTACACTCGACACACACGTATCGTTTAATATAACTATATTTGAAACTAAAACAAAGAAAAATACAAGTACTGAAACCGCACAGAATTTACAAAAAGATAACTGATTAGGAGAATCCAAAAGAAATAGCCGAGTCGGTAATTAATAATTAAATGTTCCGCAAGCAACGGTAATTAAACGTGGTAAAACGAAAAAGACAAGCGATCTTTTTTCGTACAGTAGAAACACACTCTTGACGCGACGAGCAATCGGAAAAGAGCGCCGCGATCACGAGAGAGGAGGTTTTTATAGGCCCGTGTTTCTAGAATAGTCGAGAATAATTCTCTTTATTCTATCGTTCGGCTGAGGTTGAAAGAGCGTTTTATGTAATTATTTACTTTTAGAAAAATAATCTTTTTGTTGTCAACGGGACTAAAATGTATCTCCTCTCGCGCGACCGCGGTGTTTACAATTATCGATGAGTCGACGTAAGCGCTTTCTTTTCGCAGGCGCGGGGTACGTATACATATACCAGTGCGGCCGAGCGCTATTTTAAATAATATTAATTTAAAATTATGCATGATGCATGTTGCATGGGGATGAAACGACTGCATGAAATTTAACGCAATGATGTTTTAATGCTCTTAATCCTGCAGGTTTTTTAAACGTTCGAATCTCGAACAGTTAATATCGAATAATGTATTTGTTTCAAGTAATGGCAGTAGAGTCAAATACATACCTACGTATATGCAGTTTTTGCTGTTAATTGTACTTAAACGAAAAAAATAATTAAATGATTTAAATATAGCACATTTTAAATCAAGAAACTTATATAATCGAACTCTGTTTAGAAAAAGGTAGAACATTTCATTTGCCTCTGCCTTTACAAGAAACATTGGATAAGGTATGTCCTCCGGAAGATCCTATAAATTTGAATCACGAGTTGCACATTCTCGTTCGAGGTATACCCAAGAAATCTAAAGTGGTTTGGGAAAATTTGGTAGATATTAATAAAATGTATAAGGCTTTACAATGGTTGAAAGAAAATAATCCTCATTACTCAAAAATTCGTCTTCCAGCGTCATCTGATGATCTATTAAAGGATAAGTTGCAGGAAACAGAATATAGGATTGTCGATGAAGAAAGCGACAATGACGAAATAAATGAGGTGGTTGAGGAATTACCAGCATTGAATTTGTACAATGTACAGCAAGACAAAAATAATAATTATTAAACCGTTTTAAAACGTACGGCTTTTCTCACACAAATCACTGAACATTCGGATATTAACGATCAGTATAAAATATACCCAATACACGCGAAAAGAATCGATAACGAATCTGCATTGAAACTTTATCAAATGGTGAAAATTGAAGATTTTCCAATAGATAATCGTTATAAATATCTGGATGTCATGTGTTTCCCTGATTTATATCCTGATGGTGTCAATGGATTACGAGAAGATAGAAACTTTGCATTGCCGGAATATTTATTTATTATTAGAACACGATTGATGTCGAAACATAGTAGATTCAGGTTGAATCTGCAGTATCTGTTCTTCCTTCTCAATGATGCTAACTACCGACAGTTGAAAAGTGGTATCTATTATACGATGATGGTTACTAACCCACGAAAGAGATACACTGCTGGTAGATACTTGAACGAATTGAAAGGTTACCAATTAGAATCGAATTTAATGAGTATTTTCGCGAAATTGAGAAATACGGATCAATTTTGGCGACAACCGTCCAATAATGTAAAATGCATGACTTTGCATTACGGTCCAGCGACGTGGTTTTTGACTTTGAATCCTAGTGAATGGAAATGGTCCGATTTGGGTAAATATTTACGAGATATGAATCCCGATAAAGAGAAGTTAGGCATCAGCGTACTAATCGCATACGATCCTGTAAGTACTTCTAGATTCATGTGCATAAAATTCAAAGCCATGATTGATTTTATTTGTTCGTTCGATAATCCAATAGGAAAGGTTATTCATTACTTCTGGCGACTGAAATATCAACGTAGAAGTATCCAGCACATGCATTGTATGATTTGGATAAAAGATGCTCCAGTATTAGGAAAATCGCCGAATGAAGAAGTTGCTACGTTTATTCAAAAATACGTAACGTGTGAAATTCCAGATGAAAATGTTTCGCCAACGTTGTACGATACGGTAATAAGTGATCAGAATTATAAACATAACTCGTATTGCATGCGTACGAAAAAAACGGAAACTAATATATACAGAAAGTTTCGGTTCAATTTTCCTCGGCCAGTTACTGAGAATTTCGTTTTAAAAGACGTTATCACTTTGATAGTCGGTAAAAAAAATTTACGCAGTAAGAGCAGATTGTACGATCTTCCTCGCAAGGAGTCGGAAAGGTTTATAAATGATTATAATCCGTCTATCAAATTAGCCTGGAGGGAAAGATGGACATACAATTTATTGGAGAAAATCAGAGTTTTTAAACTCATGTAACGGCGTGGCCGTTACTAACGCCTCGCGGGCCGATCACCCGCCCGCCACTTGAGGCTATGGCGCCTAAGGCGCCCCTAAACGCAAAAACACAAGCGATACACGGGTCACCCTACCCCAGGGGCGCCCCACTACAACCCCCAGAGGCGCCCCACTACGACGCCGGCGTTACTCCCACCACAGCCTCAATGTAGAGTGGGGGAACCGCCGGCAGGGTATATAAGCCGGCTCGACGGATAAGCCGGCACCAGTCCTGTTTCGGACCTTCTAGCCAGGCAACGGGCTTCTCGTTGTTACGCCGGGTTTCTCGGTTTCTGGCCTCCTACCTTTAGTATCGGGCAACGGGTTTCTCGTTGTTACGCCGGGTTTCCCGGTTTCCGGTCTCTTCCTGCTATACACCGGGTGACGGGTTTCTCGTCATTACGCCGGGTTTTCCGGTTTCCGGTCTCTTCCTGCTACACGCCGGGCAACGGGTTTCTCGTTGTTACGCCGGGTTTCCCGGTTTCCGGTCTCTTCCTGCTATACACCGGGTGACGGGTTTCTCGTCATTACGCCGGGTTTCCCGGTTTCCGGTCTCTTTTTGCTATACACCGGGTGACGGGTTTCTCGTCATTACGCCGGGTTTCCCGGTTTCCGGTCTCCTCCTGTTACACGCCGGGCGACGGGCTTCTCGTCGTTACGCCGGGTTTCCCGGTTTCCGGTTCCTCCTGCTAACTTCCGGGTGACGGGCTTCTCGTCGTTACGCCGGGCTTCCCGGTTTCCGGACACCGATATAGGCTATATGCCTCAGTACGTTCGATCTCCAGATTTCGCATACCGGATGACCTGTAAGTCATTTCCGGACACCGCTACAGGCTATACGCCTCCGTACACCGTATCTCTAAGTTATACCGGGTAATTTGTAAATCTTTTCCGGACACCGCTACAGGCTATACGCCTCCGTATTTTGTTTATACCGGGTAGTCAATAAGTTTCTTTATTTAGGCTTTATGCCAACAAACATTTTGTTTACTTGTTTCTTTTTGAATAAACCAAAGCATTGTTAATAAGGAATAAGCGAGTTTGAATCTCCCCCTTCCTCCCGAATCCTGGAACCGGCGAGCCGATCCGCGGCGTCGGGAAAGGTGAACCGTTACATGGCGCCCGAACAGGGACCTGCCCAGTGGAGATCCCGACTCGCTTAAGCCTATCCAGATGCCCGCGTGGGTAAATCAATTATCAAAATCCGAAGCTATTGCCTTGGCCAAAAGACACGGAATCGATAGCCAAGAAACTTTAGACGAGGTCCGCCGACGCCTCCGTCGATTTGTCGGGCAAAACCCCGCGCTATTTCGAACTCACCTACCTGTGCCCACTATCAACGTCAAAATGGCCACCGGAAGCCCAACCAAAGACGAAGAAGCTACCACCCCGACACCTGTTGAACCGGCCAGGATCATGGATCAGATCCGAAAATGGGGGTGCCACTTCGAGGGAAAGGACCCCCTGGCATTCCTCGAGCGTACGGAAGAGCTGTGCCTGGGCTACGGCTACACCGACGCCCAGATGCTGTTAGGGCTACCCGAACTCTTACGGGGAGACGCTCTTTTTTTTTTTTTTTTTTTTGACGCAGTGGGAATCCTCATGGATACCACCGCTCTCCGGGAAGAGAGCGGATGGTTATGTGGGACTTCTTGTTCCCCTTGGCCGATCCACGAGTGGATCGGTCAGGGGGCCCAAGACATACCTCACTAAACCCACTGCGGATACCTTCCCGGGCGTTAATGGGGGACGGCCAGGATGCTGGTTTCCCATGCCGACTGGCCGCCCCCCCGCCTAATCCCTCCTTGGGAGAGTGCCGTTGAGGGCGACACTCTCCCCCCCCGCGAATGTCATCGTGCGGGGGTCATCGCGGTTGCGACGCAGGGCGGTATTGACCCTACGTCGCGCCCTCCTAAAGAGTTTGGGGGGCGGGGTCACGGCTCGAGTATCCCGCTCGAGCCGCCACCCCCCGCCTCCAAAGCGGTGCTCTCTCCCCCTCCCGAAGGGAGTGGGGATTCGGCATTCGCCCCGGAGGCCCTCTCCAGAGGGTTCCTCTCAGAAGGAGAGGAACCCCCTCCGTGGACGGTGTTGCCCTCCCACCGGTGCCTACGGCTCCCGGTGAGAGGGCCCCACACGTCACGTCTCCGTCCTCGAGAGGGACCCAGGCACCCCGGACGGGAGGGCAATGCCCGCCCGCCAGGGACACGTGGCCCCCCCTCCTGACCCCCCCGGTTGCGACCTCCCTCCGCCCCTAAGGGTCAGAGTTCACCCGCAACCGGTGGGGCCCCTCCCTCCCGGAGGGTGTGGGGGGGGGAAGAGAGCGCCTAAGCGCCCCCATGTCCCCCCCGACA